ATCCCTAAACCCTAAATCCCGAAACCCTAAATGCTAAGCCCTAAATCCCTAAATCCTAAACCCTAGATCCTGAATCCTAAACCCTAAATCCCTAAACCCTAAATCCAAAACCTTTAAACCCTAAATCCTAAATCCAAGACCCCTAAACCCTAAATGCTACATCCCCAAACTCTAAACCCTAAATCCAAAACCCTTAAATCCTAAACCCAAAAACCAAGACCCCTAAACCCAAATTGCTAAACCCCCAACCCCTAAACCCTAAATCCAAATCCCTTAAATCCTAAACCCAAAAACCAAGACCCGTAAACCCTAAATCCAAAACCTTTAAACCCTAAACCCTAAATCCAAAACCCTTAAACCCTAAATCCAAAACCCTTAAATCCTAAACCCTAAATCCAAAGCCCCTAAGGCCTAAACCCTAAATCCAAGACCCTTAAACCCTAAATGCAAAAAAACCCTAAACCCTAAAGCCTAAATCCAAGACCGTCAAACCGTAAATCTAAAACCTTTAAACGCTAACCCTACATTCAAAACTCCCGAACCCTAAACCCTAAATGCAAAACCCCTAAACCATAAACCCTCGATCCAAAACCCCTAAACCCTAAATGCAAAACCCCCTAAATCCTACACCCTAAATCCAAATCCCTTAAACCCTAAATCCAAAACCCCCAAACCCTAAACCCTAAACCCTAGATCCAAAACCTTTAAACCCTAAACACTAAATCCAAAACCCCTAAACCCTAAATCCTAAACCCAAAGCCCGCAAATGCTAGGCCCAAGACCTTTCAGGCTGTCGCAGAATCCTGAGTTGGCTAAGTGACCCGCAAAAGTGTTTGCTAAGTGACCCGAAACAGTGCGGGATCCGAGTTGGCTAAGTGATCCGGAAAAAGGTTGGCTAAGTGACACCTCTCCGTACAGAAGCATCCTTTTCAACCGAGAATATTATGGGAATTGGGTGTTGATTCCAAGGTATTCTCTTCACCGATGTTGTCCTTGAGCACATGCAAGCTGAAGGGGTGATGGATCCAAAGCTGATCCAGTACTTTGGATCGCTGTACACCTCCATTGCGACTCTTTTCAGGTCGATTTCAGGGGGCCTGGACTGGGAGGCGGCGGCAGACAGCTTGAACCCGCTGGGAATCTTCTGGGTGCAGGTCTTCCAATTGTACGTGGCTTTTGTAAGCTTCGCCGTGTTAAATGCCTCTGAGATGCAAGAAGCATGCTTTGTTTTTGGCAACAGCTTGCGAAGGGAGCGGTGTTCAAACTTGTAGGTTTTCCAATTTGCTTGTGTAGTTTGGGGTCCTGGCTTTAATTTGCTAATTTCCGAAATCTTGGTCGCATGCTATGTCATTAAGAGTTTCATGTATTTACCGGCCTGTATTTATCCTCTTAGGGGCCACTTGCACATCAAGCTTGTCCAGCCTTAGGGGTGCCTTGTTCATTTAGTTCATTTAGCTGTTTTGCATGGAGGGTTTTTATGGTGCTTGTTGCAGCATGCTGCCGCGGACAGGCCTGATGCTGCATGCGTTGACTGTTTCGTTGCTGGCCGGCTGCGTTTTGGTCATTTTTGTCGCGTCGACTGGGAGAGAACCCGTAAGTGGGTTGTTTTTTTTGCCTCGAGCCTGGACCATTTGTTGTGGCGCGGCTTGGTCGCCGGCTAGCCATGGTTGTCGCATTGCTCATCGGCATTCCATGGCCTGCATTTGGATGGTTGCAATGAGTTGCCCACATTTGATCATATCTTTTGGTTTTGTCCCCAAACCAGAAGTTGGTTCCCTTCCTCGGCGTCACACCTCGGCTTTGTCGGCCAGGTGGGGTTGGGTTGTGAAGAGTACAAGCACTGATTACGGTGCGCTTCACCGCCGGATAGAAGCTATCCCGTCCAGGCTGTGGGCTGTCTTTCACCAGTAGATGGGTTGTTGTGTCTCCTCTAGCTGCTGCCGCCTTCCTGCCGTTTGGTTTGTGTTGTTTTCCGGCTTATTGGTCGCAAGCTATGTCACTGAGAGTTTTGCGAAGTTTTTTGCCAGTGCTTTACCCGTTTGGGAGTACTTGCGTCTCAAAGTTATATACACAGAGGTCATGATAAGGTTGCTTATGGTTGGATCTCTCGTTGGCCAAGCTTGCAGCCGAGCAAACGCATTTGGGCCGCTGTGAATGTTGGTTTTCGCCGCATGAGATCGGCTGCTCCTTGGTTGCGTGCCGCATTGTTTGGCGGCTCCATGCATCTTGATGTTTTGTTTGCCGCGTGGTTGGTTGGTTGGTTGGTTGGTTGGTTGGTTGGTTGGTTGGTTGGTTGGTTGGTGGGTTGTTTTGCCAGGGCGCGTATTAAACGCGTGCTTTCTTGGGTTCCTGTCAGCGGGTCGCCATCGCATGCGCTTGATACCTGGCTTTGTCGCAGAGGTTGGACAAGGTACAGACCCTGGGTGTGGCGTCATATGTTGACTGGCGAATCCATCAATTTGAGTCACTGCAGGGTGGTTCTTGGTCGTTTCCAGCATGTCGTGCGTAATGCTAGCCTGGTCTCTGCGGTTGCCACGGCCCACCAGCGCGCATCTTGGGGTGTTGCATCGGTTGAGGGCTTTAAGTTTGCCGGGATTGTTCACGACCTCGAGCACACTCCAGCTGCCGGGGAGAGGGCGGCGTTATGGCAGGTTGTGGCGGCGGCTCAAGCAGCGGGACAACGGGCGCTGCGTTTGCTCTGCGATAATGAGGCCGTTGTCAAGCGGCTGCAACGCGGGCTTAAAGGGTCCCGGGAAGGGGATTGTAGAGCATTCTGGGCCTCCATCGCCAGCATGCCCCCACCTGACGCCGATATCTTGTGGATCCCTTCGCATGGCACGCATCAGCACTGGGAATCGCCACCTACGTGGCCTTCTTGCGCCACTGTGCCGACTGTGCAATCAGTCGGCAGATGAGGCAGCAGGCCAGATTACCGCGGGACGTTTGGGCTTTGAGCGAATTGTTGCTTTCATCCATGAGGGCAGGTGCTGGGCCGAAACCGCCGCCATGCAGCAATGGAAAATGACCAGGGCAGCCATGCCCGCGGTGCGGGCCCTCTATTCTCAGGATTTTGCGAGGGAGACAGTTGCTATTTCGCCCTCTCAAAGGGGTGATCCGAGCATTGCAGTGCTTGATGCAGCCGCTGATGTTGAGGGCTAGGGAGGTTTTGTGTTGAGGTTTGGTGTAGTTGGGGGCGTCTAGCCACTGGAGTATGCAGGAGCTGGTTTGCTGGGGGCTCCCTTGCCCCACCTTAGGTGCAGCAGTTGAGCCCGTTTGGCAGCTTCAACTTGCATGAGTGGCACGCGTGTGAGAAGGGCTTGCCACCAGGTGTGGTGCCATGGCATTTTTGCTGTGTAACGTTTCCACGCCAGGGAGTCCAGTTTGGTTCCGCCATGGGCGGCGCTGCATGTTGTGGGCTCATTGCACAGGTGCTTGTGCAACGACGGCTCAGGCTGCCGTCCGACAACAACAACAACAACCTGCGTAATGCTTGGCGTGCTTGGTGCTTGTTGCAAGCTGCCACGAACAGACGTGATGCTGACTGTGTTGATTGTTTTGTTGCTGGTCGGCTGCGTGTTGCGTATTTTCGTCGCGTCGATTGGGAAAACACCCGTACGTGGGCTTCTTCTTGCCCTCAAACTCGTGCCATTTGTTGTGGCGCTGCCTAGTCGCCTGCTAGCCTTGGTGGTCGTATTGCTCATCGTCCTTCCTTGGCTGGCACTTGTGATGGTTGTGATGAGTTGGGCACGTTTGATCACATTGCTCGGATTTGTCCTCGTAGGCGCGCGCCCTGCCCTGGTTTTGTCTGCTAGGTGGGGTTGGGTTGTGAAGGGGACAAGGACGGATTACGGTGCGCTTCACCGCTGGTTGGAAACTATCCAGTCTCGCTTGTGGGTTGTTTTTCACCAGTAGTTGGGTTCTTGTGTCTCCACTAGCGGTTGCTGCCTTCCCGCCTTGGGTTTTGGTTTTTGTTGTTGTCTGACTTTTCGGACGCAAGCTATGTCATTGCGAATTTCCTTAAGTGTTGTGCTTGTGCTTTGCGCGTTTGGAGGTCTTTACACTTCAAAGTTATTTAGCGCGGAGGTGCTGCACTTTTGCACTCATGTCACATGGCTGCCCCTCCTTTTGTTTTGAGGGGCTCTCAGGGGTGTCCTGTCCATTTGGGGGCTGCCGGCACCAGAACAAAGTTAGTTAGTTAGCGCGGAGGTCATGACAGGAGTTTTCTGCAACAGCGCCATAAAATCTGCCGAGCGGGATCAGAAGGCAAAGCTGGAGGATCGTCATGATTTCCGAGCGTTGATGATGAAGATTTTCAAGCAGATTGATTCCAGTGGTGATGGAAAGTTGACATTGACAGAGTTTGAATCGCTGTTCGATAGTGAAGCTATGAAAGCTTTGATGGAGACAGCAGAAATAAAAGCGACAGACGCGTGGACATTGTTTACAAGTTTGGATCAAGACGGTGACAATCTGGTTGATGTTAACGAATTTATCGAGCGATGTTTGCAACTGCATGGTCCAGCACGTGCGTTAGACTTGCATTCGCTGACCCGCCAAAACATGAAGCTCGCAGAGCAGTTGGCAACAATTGAGTTGGCACAGAAGCAGCAGATGCGGATGTTCACCCTGCCATTGCGAGGCACAGTTCATTTTCAAGACGAAAATTTGGTTTGTATGTAGAGCGCATTCCAAAGGATTTGCGTTGTAACATGGCAAACCCCTCTTGTTGACGCAGAAAAAGGGCATGTTGTAGCAGCGTCTTGTTTGCATGCTGCGCCTTCATTCCAAGCAAGTGACTAGTTGCAGTTAAGTTTGAGCAACTTCACTTTTTTTGGGGTTTGGGAGTTGGGTTTTGGGTTACAGCGGCTAAGTAATTCTACGTTGCCATTTTCTTCGATTTCTCAGGTCACTGAAGCCTGGGTTGTGTTCAGTCAACAATCTCCCCAGTGCTGGCATTGCGTCAGGCCACACTACAAGCTTTGCAGAAGGAGGGCCAGCGCCGGCATGTACCAATCGCCTTGCGTTTCCTCCAGCATGATGCTTGCTAACGTTCAAAGCTGCAGGAGAATGCGCTTCTGCTACTGCAATTGTCAGCTTTGCGGCACATGCCTTGGTTCGATAGATTTTACATGCTTGTTGCCTGAATGTGTGCACATCCAGGTTGTTGGAAACCAGATGTGCTGAGCTTGAGGCATGGATTTTTTGTGCAAAGCTTTTCAACAGCCGAACCAGCCATGATGATAGCTGGTGTTTTGGCAGGAGGATCTTCGTTACAACTGGGACTGGTGGCGAGCAAAGGTGCACCGCCGGGAATACCTTTGAGCGTTGTTGTCAGAGGTCTGCTCAGATATTCCATGACCAAATCCAACTATTGGAAGGCGATCCGCATTTCTTCTCCACTGACAAAGTATGAGGAACACATTCATGATCCCAAAGAAGAAGGCTTTGATTGGAAGTTGGCTCCTCGTCGCGACTTTGCAGACAGTTTTCATCCAGTTCGGTTTTTCTTCAGGTGGTATCCGACATCCTGTCCGTGCTGCAGACGTCCACTTGACCTCACCGTTTGCACAAAGGACAAGCGACTCTTCTGAATCTGTGCAAGCCGTGCAGGTGTGATTGAATTGTTGCCTGGATGCATAGCTAGCGGCTGGGCTGAGGCTGGCTCCTCCAGCGGATGGATATACGCAAAATACAGGCCTAAACGAATTGTGGAAGTGGGTGGAGCATTGCTTGTTGAGAGTGTGAAGGAACACCTCGCTATGCTTACGTTTGCGTTGTTTGGGGTGCCAGCGACGGCTATGCCTTGGGTGCTTCAGTGCTCGGCAAGAAGCTTCAGGCATGTTCGCAGACATTTGTTTAGACGCTGTGGCAAAGTTTTCCAGCCGACTCAGTCTTTATGTCAGCAGGAACTACAAGCGGAGCAAGGCAAGGTTTGGGGATCTTCACCTTGCATCTTGCTCAGATGTTGCTAGAAACTTCTTAATAGTTCAGAGGTGAATCGGCAGACCTGATTCTGATGCACACCGATGCTACTTCGAGTGAAGTGATTGTATTTTTCGGAGTGAGTGAAGCAAACAATTTCAATTCTTCCCGGTTGCAGCGCAAAATCTCCGACCCCAGTGGGCAGAGAGCCTCCTGTCAATGCAAAGCAAAGGATGTACCCGAGAACTATTTGGAGCAGCTCGCAAAGATCTGGAATCTTCAAAGCACAGAGTACATCGACGGTGTCTCCGCCCTCTACACGACCAAGGGGACACGCTTTGATGGCGTGTTCACCAAGCTGAGTGTGACTTGTCTAATAGCCTCAAGTGAATTTGCGCATAGCCAAGAGAGCGGGGTTGAGACGGGTTGTTGCCACATGTTGCTACATCTCTGAGGCATGGAAGCTGGCCAGGTCCTGAATATTTGTCGCATCTAGAAATGCACGTTGAGCTTTCAAGAAACGCTGGAGCCAAGGTTGAGTATGATAAAGTTCGCTCTTCAGACTCATCTGTCGGCAGCACTTTTTGTGTCTTCGGTAAGATGTTTTTATGTTCTCCTCGGCAACTTGTGTCAGGTCATTCTGTTGGATATTGACACGCTCCCGCTGAAGCCGCTCAGTGCTCTGTTTGAGCTTGAGCCGCCTGCAGCACTGGCTTCCCGTCTGAAAGATGTCGTGTCACATGCCATTTATTGTTGGACTGCCATGCCTGCTATGCACTTGCAGGTGCGTGGAAGCAGTGACATGGAGCACGGTGCCGTCATAGATGGGCGCCACCCTTTTGCACAAAGGCCCTTTTACCCTCAGCCTCCCTCAGCCCCCTGCCCTAGGCTGTTTCTTCAGCGAGGGAGATGGGGAGCCGGGTGGCTGGCTCCAGTCAGGAGGCCGCAGAACACTTCGCTTGTACCACTTTCTGTGCTGTCTGGACATGGAGGTTGTAGGAAGAACAACTTAAGCTGATCGCCCGGGCAGGAATCAATGCGGGGGTGATCCTTCTGCGGCCTTCTCTAACCATCTTCGAGCAAATGCTCAGTGAAGTGCCCCGACCAGGGACTCCACATTTTGGCGCAGGGAGGTCACTCCAGATCTGAGGTGACTTCTCAACATCATCCAGCGCACATTGCAGGAAATGGCCCAGAGCAGGATTATCTTACGCGTTTTTTTGCTGCCCGGGACCTAGGCATTCAGCATCGCACTCTTTGCATTTCAGGCATGGATGTGCTTCAGTCAGCAACGCAGAAACCCGAGAAACAAAAAAGTCCCTAGGCCCTAAGCCCAATCCCACCTCAAATGCTGAACCTCATGCATCAACTTAGGGCAGGTCCAAGCTAACGTTTGTGCAAGTCTTTGAGGCGAGAGTCGACACGCCTTGGCGACACATCGATGTATCCTACAATTTCCAGCTGCATCACATACCCTTCGCATTAGAGCAGGCAAGCAGGCGTGTATGTGTTTGCAAGGGCAAGCTTGAGCTTATTTTGATTTTTCTGTCTTGAAGGTCGTGCGGTACCGAAATCAGCTCTTTGAATCTGAAGCTTCCGATTGGCTTCCCCGTCGGCTCAGTATTGACTTGGAGGCAATGCTGAGCTTTTGAGGTTTCTCTTGGTTTGGAGTGAGAATTTTCCTTCTTTTGGTTCATTTGAGGACATCAAGCTGGTGCACTTCAGCGGCGAGTTGAAGTACTGGCACATGACGTAGGGCCCCCGCAACAGTGCTGTTTTCCCGAAGCCGAAAGACAGCCTCCATCTGAGGCTGTGTCGAGGGGCGGAGATGGCAGAGGCAGAACTCTGCATGGAGAGGCTGGCACTCACCTACAGATGTCTAGTTGGATCCTTCTTCTGCAAACATACTGCGTAATACTGCGTACTCGTGCGCAATGACGATGAAGCATGAATTCAGTTTGCAAGTAGGCGCCTCAATATCAGCATCTAGGCCAGCACACCTTGTGCACATTTTTTTTCTAGCGAGCACTGCGAGCTCCCTCCAGAACCGGGCAGAATGAACTTCGGAGGCCAAGAACTATGTACATACATGTGACTCAAACAAAGCACCACGTCAATTGTGATTGGATTACCTCACGTATTACCTGGAGAAGGCTGAAAGCCTTGGTGTGCCAGCATTGGCACTAGAAAGGATCGAGCCTTTGAATAGCCTGTCGCTTGACTGTCTCCAGATGTGCAATATTCTTAGGATCGAACATTTCGATGGGTCCTTCTATGCGCTTATATGCATCAGCATATGTCTCCAACAGCCAATCAGACTTAGGGCGACCTATTCTCCTCGTCAAAACTGTCCTAGGTCGTAACTTGTCTGCGTGAAGCACTACTTGGTTTAACGGGTCAGAGCTTGATGATCTTAGGATGTGACCAAAGAGTTTCAATTTAGCCTTCTTCCATGTTTCACCGAAATGTTCAAACTTGCATTGATATGTTTGGCGTATTTCCCGATACATACGTTCATGTGTTTGCTCTCCATCCAGAAACGTGGGAGGCTTGCCAAGAATACGTCGAAGGCTTTTGTTTTGAAACGCGTTCAGTTTTGAGATTTCAGCGCTCGTCAACTGTATACACTCAAGCCCGTATAACAATTTCGACCTGATGATTGCATTAAAAACTTGAATTTTCCACTTGATAGATTTGTTAGCTTTTGTCCAAAAGATCTTTAGCCGATTGCACGTCGCTATACAATCACCCAACCGATTAGCAATTTCGGCTTCATTGTCGAACGTGTCCGTCAACAATGTACCTAAGTATGTGGCTGACCGTTGCCTTGGGACTAATCTTCCTGCGGCTGGGCCAGTTGGAGAAAAGCGTGCAGATGATATCCTTTGGTTTGCTGTAAGATTCACACATTTCCCATAGTTTAATTTCAGCCCATAGTATGCACTGTGGCTTTCAATGGCATGTAGCAGTTTATTTATGCATTGAGTATTGGCGCCAAATGTGAGCGTGTCGTCTGCAAACAGGATCTCGGAGAAGTAGATACCATCTATCGGCTGAAGTTGTCTAGGTGTGCATAGTTCCCTCTTGATGTCTGCGAACAAGGCCCCCATAACTAGTACAAACAAATATGGTGACAAAGGACATCCTTGTCTAATGCCAGAATTTTTTGGAATCTCCATTCAGACTCCTTATCAGTAGATCTCACTGTAAACTGAGGATTTGCGTAGAAGTCCTTGATCAACCTGTAAATCTGATCTGGGACTTGCAAGCGACGTAATACTTCAAGTATTTTTTGTTGCGATATTTTATGAAAAATGCTTTCTCCCAATCAAGCAGAATAAGTGTACTGGCGGTTCTAGATTTCTCCGAGATGTCCTGCAATCTGCGCGCCATGAAGATTGCATGGGAAGTACTTTTATGTTTCCGGAATCCGAATTGTGTGGCCATCAGCCACGAGTCCAAACCTTCATCAAGTCTTTCCTTAACTAATGCTGCGATAATCTTGTAGCACGAATTGAGAAGGGAAATGGGTCTGTAATTTTCCAACATAGAAGCATCGCCTTTTTTATATATCGAAACTACAATTGCTTGCAATAAGTGGTGGGCCATTTCTCCTTTTGCAAGGCAAACGTTTGCCGCATCTAGCAATAGTGTTCTATTGGGCACATCCAACCATTTGTAAAGTTCCCCTGGAATCTGGTCAGTTCCTGGTGATTTGTTGTTTTTGATTTTATTGAGGACATATTCTAGCTCTGCCATTGTGAAAGGAGAGTCGTCTACTCTGTAATTGCCATTTTGGAGTGGGATATGTTCACGTGATATTGGGTTGTCATCCGGGTCTGGCGCTTTCCATTGAACTTGTTCAAGATACTCTGCTGCTTTACTGGCATAGTCCTGAAACGGGACATGGTTGCCCTCTAGGTCTTTAAATTTTGTAAACGTAGGACTAAACTTGGCTCTGAGCTTCTTTAAGCCATCCCATTTGTAGCCTTGAGCCGTGATTTCTTCGAGTTGTTCCAAAAGGTCATTTTCCCTGTCTTGTTGCACTTGTTTCTTTATGTCTTGGCTAATTGCATCTGCAATATCTTGATCACCTCTCTCCATAGCTTCCCATTTTTGCTCAAGTAAGTTCCAAGTGTGCTGTGATATATATGGCTTTTTTTTTTTTTTATGTCTGGATGCTTTTTTTCAAAGGATTCATTGGCGCTTGTCAACAATATGTTATTTAATCGGTCGAATACATTGACTTCCTGTTGGTCTTGTTGCCGGTCATCCTCAGCATAGTTTCGGATACGCTCATTGTAATTCGATAATTGCTCAGGGGTGGGCTTGTGATACCTGATGGATTTATCGAGATGTCTCTTGGCCTTTGCCTTGAGTTTGAAGTTGACACTTGCTATCAGGAGTTTATGGTGTGTGTCAACAGCGTGCACAGCCGTCGTTGTGATGTTGTGATTGAGTTTTTCCACACTGAGTTTACGAGGAAATAATCCATTTGCGCATATTTGTGTATTTGCCATGGGGGCTTCCGCTCCTTGACTCTGACTGCTTTGTATGTGACCAGCTGCTCAACAGGTTTTTCGAAAAACGTATTCTTGGCAATCATTCCATGTGTGAGACAAAATTCTGTGAATCTTAATCTGTTTTGGAATTGCGCGTCACTTAAAACATGAAGCTCATTATTGTGCTTACCTAATGTATGGGGTCCAATAGCTGAGGCTTCATGAGGCATAGCTTTGATTATCCGAGCATTGAAGTCTCCGGCAATGATTTTAGGGGAGAAATTGTATTTCGCTCTGAGAATATCATCCAATTCTTCATAATGTTTTTCCGACGTGCTGTCTTCAGTTGAGCATGCGTGCGGAGCATATGTGGAAACAATATCTAGGTCCCCTGCCTGCATCCGCAATGTCATAACGATGTTTCTTGCACTAATCTGTCTTACGTCGCTTAAAAATCTAGTAACATATTTGCGACAACATATTCCAACTCCCAGATGTTCAACTGCGGCGCGGAACGTCCTCATGTGTTCCGGATTGCGTCTACTTGCTTTACCTGATCTTTTCAGGTTTTCCGCTTTGTTCCTAACATCATCAGGTACACCTGTGGACCAATACAGGATGTGGTCATCGTGAATTTCTCGGGAATTGCAATTGATTTTTGTTTCTTGGAGACATACAATATCCAGATTATGTTTTTCCATTAAGTGTATTATTCTCTCTCTCTTGGAAATGGATGAAAGCCCTCGGCAATTTAACGATGGTTTTGTGCAAACTGCTTATGCAGTAATACTTCTTGATAATCAGACTCGGGTCTGATACTATGTACCGTTGATGTGCAATGTTGGTCTTGGTGTTCTACTGTGTTATCTTGGACTCTAGATGTTATGCTATCCTTTGGTTCTGTCGGATCTTGGGCAAACAAACGCGACTGGTTTGCCAAATCAGTGGCTTGATGCTTAACGTATCTGTATAGCTGCCTACGCCTATTTCTTTCAATTGCTCTTCTAGTTTTTCTTTCAATTCTTGACATGATTGAGTGACATTTCCTTAAAGAATTTTTCACTGGTGTGTTCCATCTTCCATAGGTTTGTCTATTTCGTTAATGGGGTCAGGCAAACATGATTTCTTTTTCTTGGGGGTTCGCAGTTCCATATGTTCTTATTTATTAGCTTACAATGCAAGCCTGCAACCCTTCGGAGTAAGCATTTGTCTACGCAGCTTTTATGATGGATGCAAGCTGCCCGCAGTGAGCCGCCGACTTGCTGTTGAAAGTCCTAGATCGACATGTCTGAAGCAAGTGTCTTCTGTGCCATCAGGTTCGTGGAGCAGATGTTGGCCGAATTCGCATCCTACGGAGCTTGGGTCACCGGGGAGGAGGACTGTGTAGACTATGGAGCTCAACGGCGGGATGGACGCATTGTGCTTGCTGGCAACCCCATGGAAGACATTACTGATTTCGTGGCACGTGACTTGCCTAAAGGAGTGGGACAGCACGTAGGGAGTACAGAGGGACGAAAACACAAAAGCTAGCAGGGTCGGCTTGCCTTGAGTTCCATATACCATGATATACTTGTATATCATTTCTGTCTGTCACACATGCAACTATGATCAAACATGTGCCTCGCCTCAGTCCATCTGTTGCAGTTTCTTCATCGATCGCCGAGACGCTTTGACCGGATTTTCTGGCGTGTCACTTATGCTCCAAGGAGCCTTCCAACATGCTCGGACAATTTGTGCAGCTTCCTGCAATGCCTGGCACAGCTGCGCACTTCGGCTCTTGCAGCAGCTGCCAGGCAGGCGTCGCAATCAAGGAAGCGAGTATAGCGAGTAGAGAGCTTGACAAAAGCGACGTACACAAACTCTCTACGTGAGCGGAGTATGCAGATGTATGCAGCACGAATAGTCGTATGTCGCTGATGGCAGGTTTGCTTCACGAGCTGGACAATCCGCGTGTTCCGCAAGGTTGTGCAGCAGTTGGGGCCGAAGTGGAGGTGCTGTGGCCAGATGAAGGCCTGGCAAGTTTCTCCTCTTCATGTACCATCCAAACCGTGTTGTCCACACCAGGCTCAACGTGGCATCCCGCGCGTGTGTGTGGTGTGCATGCTGATGGAACCTACACGGCCATATGCCCAACTGCTGTTGGTGCTGCTGCAACGCTGTCATTTCTCTTTCACTCTTTTGTGGGAACATGTCTCAGAGGTACACTACTATACGGAGGATCGCAGCTGGTCCTCCTGCAAGGAGCGAAATGTTAGTACTGCACGTGTTAGAGCGTTGGGGGCTTGAGGCCCCCCACGAATTCAAGTTTGATATCAAGATTTGCAAAGTCTTTTCTTATAAGAGCCTGCGCGCAGCACGTGCGCTGCTTTGTTTGCACACTTGGTGCTTTGCATCTCAGAGTACCATATGTCCGCGTCCCTCACTGCGACTGCGGATGGCACGGGTCCAGATCAGAGCTTAGAGGCAGAACCAGCAGCAGGCTGCAGCAAAGAACTCGAACACGATTGAGCTTAAGTGAGATCGGGGAGCGATGTTGCATCTATCTTCATGTCACCGCCGCAGACCGCTCCTTTTTCGTGTGCAAGTGGCAAGTGTATGCGCACCTTCCTGCTGTATATCCGGTTGGTGCAAATCTGGGGTGTGTTGCTATCAGAATTCTCATGTTGAATTAATAGCTGAGTCTGCACGACCGCATGTGCTTCGGTGGGGCAGCAGTTGGCTCAACTTTTTTTGTGCTGCTCGTACTCATGTCCCAAAACAAAACCTTATACTCAAGCAAACCGCCGTTGCACATTGTATGTTCGGGCCGCCGGAGCCATGCTGCTTGGCGTGAATGAGAAGTCAGAGGTTCTCAGAGCCTTTTGCAGTCCAGACTTAGCTCCACATATCCTAGGCGGCGTGCCTCTTTTTTCCAGCTTGCGGCTGCGTTTGCCTTTGTGCAGGCGGGGTTAAAAGTCAGCCAATAGAATATTATCTTGCCGCGGACTCCCGAAAGAGGGTGCTTGTGACTGCCTGTGCCGGCCTCAAGAGGAGAATCTTGAGCCTGCCACGAAGGAACTTGCCTCGCTCTTTCCAACCTGATGCAGCGCATCGAATGCTATTGTCAGGGAAGGTTCAGAACTCTAGATTCAGATGCAGGCTGTGCAGGTGAGAGCGGAGAGGGGATCTCACAGATTTTTCTGTTACAGGGGAGTACCATACTTTGCTTGCCTCCGTCGAACACGTTTGGCCAGGCTCTTGACCCGAGACCTGACTCGCATGAGGCAGCGGCTTGATAGAATCTTGAGGGTCCAAGGGTTTAGTGCAGTTTAGGGTTTCGACGACAGGGACTTGAATAGTGGGGTTTTAGATCCCGAACTCCCAAATTGGAATGATTTTCAGTCACCAGACCTTAATACTTGGATGCTTGGACCCCTAGGGCTATAGATCCCTTTGGTATTCATTCCTCTATGGGGCCAGAGCCAAGCTGACGAAGCGTTTTCCCTTCGAACTGGTAGGCATTTTCCAAAGCAAGGGTTTCTCCTTTGTACTCCAAGATAGGGACCGCCCAAAACAAGGAGACGCGTTCTAGAAACTCTGTGGGGCTGATTCTTGATGACGTGAGGGATCCTGTCAGGGTAATTTAACCGTAAACGCGGGACCGCCTCGGCAAGGGTAGAGGAGAGCTGCAGACCGCACCAACCCGCTTCCAAACCCATCCACCAAAAAAGTCATTGCTTGTCTCTTTGCATTTCGTGCCGCACGATCGCGGAGGATATAAAGGATGCCAGTCATGTTCTGCAAGCTGCCACTGTAACAACACACACAGATGAACCAGCCTCCGTCTCCCGGCCCTCCAAAAGGGCCTGTGCGGTTAGCCCTGAAAACAAGCCCGACTTTTCGGCCTCGCACTACAGCCGATCAGCCGGAAACCGACAAAAAACATGCAACCCCATCCTTGAATCGGATCTAAACGCCCAAGGCCTCTGACCTCGGCGGACATAGGATCCACTTTGAATGAGCCTAGAACAAAACTCACCGATGAGAAATGCCCATCCCCAAGTGGGCCACTCCGATTCGCTCGGGGTTGCAGGTTGCCCAGAGCATCATATAATGCAGAACCCTAAACATGCCATAACTATGCACATAACAATCTAGGACCACAAACACGCTTAAGTCCTCAGCCCTACACCTTGAACCCTACAATCTATAACCTGACCTCACACTAAACCCAAAACCCTACACTAAGACTAAGAGGTTTCAATACATCGCCACCCATGAAATGCAAGTTAGGCCGGCTTGATCCCTTGAAAGAGGTTCATATAATTTATATATATATATATACATATATGATCTATTTGGGGTCATGTATAGCGGTTAGGTTCAGGGTTGAGGGTCAAGTTAGCATAATGAAGACTCAACCAGAGAAGAACACGGACAATTGGATTTTTTAGGGATGTATGGCTTTTAAAAAACTAAGTCCTCATTATCGGGAAGCCCTTTTATTGTCTGCTAATAACTAGATTATTTCGACAGCTGAAAGTTAAGTTCTATTTCTATACCAGCAAAACTAATGCATCATTTCTCTTGCTTCAATAGGTGTCTCATGTCATGGAAGACCTGCAGCCAAGCAGAATCCGGATTAGGTTCGGGAAACGCTGTAGGTTGTACGATGTTCTTATTCAAAACGCCTGGTGGCCATTGCAACAGAACACCTTCCCCTCCGAAAGCCCTTCATTCAACAAAGCGCAGGTTGCCAGCACCCGAAGCACGCGGCACCTGCGCTGGAGTGAGGGCTCTTGGGCAGAGCCGCGGTTGGACTTGAGCCGCTCCCATGGCATTTGAGAGAATTTGCTGCAGACAGGCTTGGAATGTTTCTTCCTTGGCACAGGACAGTGGATGCCTGTAGCAATTGCCTTGGTGCCTGCGGTGCTCTTCGCTACAAGCTGCTTGGAGAAGAAGTCAGCTGGACCAGGCGACAGTGGAGAGCATAGCCACGGAAAGCTTGCTATCAGTCAAAGCGCTCGGTCGCCCAGCCCTGTGCCAGCGGCTGGCAGAAGTGGAGAGGTGCTCTTCATGTACGCGCCTTTCAGCAGCAGATGGAAGCATCAGCCATTGGTGCCTCACAGACTTGACTTCTTCAACCAAGGGTTTGGATTCAGAAGCAGGTCGCCTGGGAAGCGACCAGCCAAGGTCGCCTTTGTGCCGCTGGGATTCGGCTGCTAGTCCTAAAGTCCTGCCTCGACTGGGTTTTGAAGAGGTCCACATCTGGGATGAGGGCTTCCGAATGTCTGCTTGAAGTATCTGGGGTTCTGTTGCAGGAGTGGGCCGCGCTCCTCGCATCGTATCAGGACTCAGCGCTGCGTGTTCCTGGGTACGCAAAGCTAAGCATTTGCTGCTTGAACCGTTTGTTTGTACTGCCCCGGCCGACACTTCTCCAAGGACACGCCGAGGATCAGGCCGGGAAATCTGCTCCCTACTTGCTACTGTAGTCCTACGTCCGCGTGTTGGCGTTGTTCGTGTGGCGCACGCACATGCAGCATGTGACTCCCTCACATGCCCTGCCTGAGTCTGGCGCCGGAGCTTCTGACAGCTTCAAGCTTGCGAAGTGCGCTTCTTCGCTGGCCCGGGCTAGACGTCATGTATCTGCCGCCGCAGGATACGTGCTCCCCAAAAACGCACCGCAGGGTTCTAGAAGACTTGGCCATCGCTGCCATGGTTCCAAGCTGAGGCACATCTCAGCACATGGGGTAGAAGGTCGGCTGCTGCTGGAGGATGGCTGCGGCACAGCAACTCCCCTCGAGGCCGAAGCATACTGGCGGTGGCCAAAGGTTCCCCTTCCCTTGTCCTTCAGATGCGTCTAGGCCCAGCTTCTTGAAGACATGTTTTGGGCAACCGCAGGACTTATTCGTGCTAGCTTACTCCGGACAAGTTTCCCAAACAACTTTCTTAGCTGCTTGGGCAGAGGAGAAAAGCTTGTCTTGCCAAAGCTCGTTGTCCTCAACTGCTGCGGCCTACAACAGCTAGGACCCCGTTGCAAGAAGCGTGGTTCAGGGCCATCAAGATGTTGGCAATGGATGTGCATTTGTCACCCTAGTTGCAAAGCCACGCGCGGTCCCAGGATCGCGACTCGTGCGTATGGGAATCCAGCATGTCGTCTGCTGGTCGACCGATAGCCTCTCTGACAAGTCCGCCCGCCTGTTCATCACTTCTTTCTATGGTGCCTCGACGTACACTGCAACGCTGGCGTTCTGAAGGGCCTGCAGTTGAATCATAGGTGCTTTGTTCGCTGGCCGGCCCATTGCGGGAGCATTCAATACTGCTAACGCAGTGATCCGCAGTCAGACTGCAGAATTTGGTGCAGGACTGCGCTTTTTGATGCATGGCTTCTTCCACGGCAGTCACACACACTATCACAGCTCGACATTTTTTCGGTCTGCAGGCTTCCAGCTCCTCCCCAGCGAAGGCGACCACAGTGCCTTGTCAAAAGAAAGAGGTGGCAGAGGTGGCTGTTGCAGCAAGCCTTCTTAGTGTCTGTTGCAAACCCTGGGCGGTAGGCATGGGCCTCTTTGACTCCTGGCCTCACGCAAGCGCCCATGCCAGTGCCCATGCCTTGGTGGCCGCAAAGCAGAAGGCAGCCGAAGCCGAGTCCAGCTCTGATGCCGCCGACTGCTGTAATAAGGCCGAAGTGTTTGGGTTCTCTGGCATGTCAGCACGTCTTATTCTTGGATGGTGTTTTCCAGCTTGCAAGAGCAGGAGTCCTCATCGAGTACTGGCCGTGGAAGTGATGGGCCCGTTGGCTCTGTGCTCAGCATCTGTTTTTTACAATCAGCTTGCTTGGATTCTTGGTTACTGGTTGCCCGTCTTGCTGTGATGCTAGCTGATTCATAATGATGCAATGGGCTTGGGTAGGCGAAATCTTTTTGTCAAGTCCTGCCAGAAGGGGGATGACATGGCAAATTGGAGGCACCTAATCAGGACCTCAAGTTACAGGGCAACCTTCTAAGCTGAAGATACGTTTGCCACTGCCGCCATGGATGCTTGGCCTGGCTCCGTGTTCCGGGGCCACGATGCCTGTGTACTTCGAGGCGGGTGTGGGCCAAACAAATCAAGTTGAAGCTGAGCTCATTGACTCGTTTGGAGGCCCGGACACTTCTTGAGGCAGCAAAGGGAGGCTGGCAGAGGGTCAGACCCCTTTCTTATGGAGATGCACCCTCGCTGCTCCGAGCTTTTTTTCTTCACGCATCAAGAGGCCGGAGTGAACTGCCAGGAGAGCCGTTGCCGGAAAGCTTGTTGCATACAGAGCC